CGTCCGACGTCCGTTCACATCGCGGTGGTTCAACAGCCGCTCAATCAGATAGCGCTGGCCACCGCGAGAGTCCTCCAAAGGAGGTGGAGGAGGAGGGAAAACGCTCTCCAAACTATCGTGGGGATACGTGTGTCCCCGAGAGCTTCTTTAATCGCTTAACTCTTGCGCTACGCGGCGATCTCGAACATGAGCGGGACATGCGTCTTCAACTGGCGGACGCTGTCTTGAAGCATCGAGCTGAGTTTGCCTTTGCTCAGCTTGAGAACGAGAGAGCTCTGACATCTCTTCGTGACGAGCTAAGGGTAGCTCGTTGGGGATATTGACCGGTCTCGGGATGAGATAACTGCTCTTCAGACCCTTGTCGATGCCCGCCATCGGGAGCACAAGGCTCTCTGCGAGATGCTTGAGCGCAAGGGCGTTCTTCAACGGAAGAAGCACCGTACTGATGGTACGGCTTAAGCCGACCGACGTAAAACATGGGATGCGTCCGCCTCTTACGTGGCAGTTCGATCGTGTATGCGTTGCCTAGGCGATGCAGTACACGTAATGGACCGATGTACTTGGGTAGTAGTTTACTTCTACCCAAGTTAGTCACTACATGCTTTGGTAGATTAACCGTAGACAGTAGGACTAAGTCACCTTTATTAAATAAAAGAGTGTTTGCCCTTCCATTCTTGTCAGCGTTTTGCTTTTGCTTATCCACCGATTCGGCGATGAAGTCTTGCACAAAACGGAATACCTTTTCACGAGCCAGTATGAATTTATCTGATGACTCGTTAGCTTCAGTGCGCTGTGAGTGCACTGCAGCAACATCAATCTTTTCTTCAGTGAGGGCTTCCTCGCTCTCACTGGCACCATCTTCTTCGATTTCGATGTTGTCGATATCGGCATCAAACGCAATGACCTCTTCGTCAGAGCGTGATGAGCGTGAACCAAATCGGTTTTTGCTCGCGCGAGTCTCTCCCCCCTTAAACCAGAGTTACACTCGAGTAAAGTGGGTACACGCGGATGGCGTAAGCCATTCACGTAAAACGGTGTATGTGTCGTGGACGCATGCACCGAGTTGTTGATGGCAAACTCTACCATTGGCAAAAACTCACTCCAACTCTTAAAGGAGTGTGCGTATCCTCGAAGTATCTCTTCAAGGACACGATTGGCACGTTCCGTCTGACCATCTGACTCTGGATGATCAGATGTTGACATCTTCAAGCGCGTTCCGAGTGATTTGAACACGGAACGCCAGAAATCAGCAGTGAATCGTGGATCTCTGTCTGATACGAGTTCACGGGGCAACCTATGAAGTCGGAAGATGGTGTCAATAAAGACACAAGTACAGCCACTTACTGTGATTGACTCTGGTACATCCACAAGGTGTACCGTTTTGCTGAATCTGTCAACAAATACGAGAATACCCGTATTCCCGCGTGCGTCTTTGGATAACCCGAAGACGAAATCCATTGTGATGGATTCCCAGCGCTCTGCCGGAACCGGTAGAGGCTGTAAAGGTGCACGCAGTGAAGGACTTGACTTCACTCGTTGACGGACTTCGCATGCGCGAACATACTGTCGCACAAACTGATACTGGCGGGGCCAGTAAAAGTCTCGACTCACCGTGAGATATGTTTTCTCCCGGCCACGATGTCCTCCTATAGGAGCATCGTGATACTCAAACATGATCCGCAAACGCAGATCAGTATCATCTGGAATGACAACACGTGGTGTGTCACCAGAAACGGCTGTATAATACAGTAAACCGTTGCGAGTAGTGTATCGATCTGATGCAGATAGATACGCAGACGATAATCGTTTCAACGATTCTCGAGATGGTTGTGAGAGATGTGTCCACAACTTCACAATCTCACCATCTTGGGCATACGCCCGCCTCACACCATCATGTAACGTTGAAGATGTTACTGAGGACGTCATAACCGCAACAGTGACTGTCTCACTGTTGGGTTTCATGACTGGTTCAAAGTCGGGCCGACGTGAGAGTGCATCAGCGACGACATTAAGTCGTCCTGGTTTGTACTCTACCTTAAAGATGTATTCCGCAAAGAATGACAACCACCGCGCCATTCGTTGTGAAAGGTGCGGGCTGTTCACTGCCGTGCGTAATGACGCATGGTCAGTATAAACAATGAAGGGTCTATCTCCTAATAGATAGACTCTAATCTTCGCGAGTGCATACTTCATGGCAAGGAGTTCCTTGTCATGCACTGGATAGTTCCGCTAAGCTGGTTGCAGCTGACGCGACTGATAGCAGACGACGCGTTCAACGCCTTCTAGGTCGTACTGCATTAATGCACAGCCGATTGAGAAATCGCTGGCATCACAGACCACATGAAATGGCCTGTCCTGATCGGCTATTGCTAGGACTGGGGATTGTATCAAGCTCTGCTTGATACCATCAAAGGAGCGCTGACATTCAGCGTTCCATAACCACCTCTCGTTCTTTTTCAACAAACGAGAGAGGTGCACAGTCATCTCGGCGTAATTGCGTGAATACTTGTGCAAATACGCCGCTAGCCCAAGGAATTTTCGAAGACCTTTGACATCAACCGGCACAGGCCAGTCGGTGATCGCCCTGATCTTTTCGGATCAGGACGTACACCGTTCTTACCAACGATGCACCCAAGAAGTGGTATTTCGCTTGCTGCAAATATACACTTCTTGAGGTTGGCATACAATTTATGTTTTCGCATGATTGTAAGAACCTGTCGGACGTGGTATCTTTGAACCTCAACATCCGACTTTCCATCCAAGGCCGACTATGGATGAATACGTCATCGAAATAACTCGGCGCGAATTCTCGTACTGGTCTCAACAGATGTGATACACATCTGTTGAACGTGGCAGGGGCATTACTAAGCCCTTGTGGCATTACTAGCCATTCCCAGAGCATGCCGCTAGGCGTGCTAACTGCGGTATAGGGTATATCCGTTCCCGCATAAGGATTTGATAGAAGCCACCCATCAAATCCATGGACGAAAAGATGGTACTCTTTGACATGCCATCAATGATTACGTCCTTCCTGAGTACCGGCGTCTGAGCCGGTACCGTTGCAGCATTCAACTTGTTAAATGCACGCACAATCCGCCACCCTCCTGTTGCTTTTCGCACACAGAAGGTCGTAGAGATGTGTGGGGAAGTTGTTTCTCTCACATGGCCCGCAGATGAACGGTCGGCAAAGAACTTGTCGATCGCAAGTACTTGTTCACGAGGCAGTGGTCACTGCTTCATGACACAATACTTCGAGCCTGGTTTAAGCTCGACCTCGTGTCGAATACCTTTATCCTTCGGTAATTCGCACGGAACAGTTTCAGGGAATACAGCCTTGAATTCAACCAAATCTTCATAGAGAGGATTTTTCTTGAGCGATTCCCACGATTGGGAGTCATATCGCTCAACTCGTGTCTTTTCATCCAGGACACTCTCGTCCATAGATGAACTACTGAGAACTCTCTCGTTCTCAGTGAACACTGTTGCTGACTTTATGTCGGCTACACACTCGTCTTCAGCGACGAGTACGCAGATCTGCTTGACTTTGCCACTACGCAGATCACGCAAGAACCTTTTATGTTCGAGCGTTGGCAACTGAGTGATTTCCGAAGTCAACTTCGGAGGCGCAATCAGATCAAGTGTATAAGCGCCTACACTTGATCCGTTATTGACTATGACATTCAGTGTCTCTGTCATTTCCTGGGGACTTATTCCCTCAGGCCTCGAAGGACTTATTCATTCGGCTTCCCGGGGACTTTTTCCCGCGGGTTTCGGGGAACTAATTTCCGCCGTATTTGTAATCTTGGGACTTATTCCCTTTACTTCCTCTAGCTGGGGTTGCGCAACCACAGCGAGATCCTCTACGAAAGACTCTCCAGTCGATCTAGGATCATCGTTTCGCTTAACCTGAGCGATCGATTGTTTCTCTTCTCGATGTTCCCCGCTAGGGATACATCTTTGTCCCGGTCCACTCGACTTATTCGAGTGGTGGACCTTCGGTGCAGCCTGTGTTTCCTCACAGCCGCCGGAATCTTGCTCCGAAATGTAACTGTCTGTTACAGTATGGTTTTGTGCAGTCGTACTAACGACCGTATCACAAGTGAGGCCATCGCACTCACTCGTAGTACATCCACACGCTTGTGGACGCTCCAAAACGTCGTTCATTAGATGGCCATCTGATGAACAAGCTGCAGGCATCGTTACTGTTCGATGTTGCCAGTTTACCCGTGGTTCGTACCTTCTGAGCCACGTTATTCCAAGGATGACTTCAAATTTGTCATCGAAATCCAATACGATAAAGTCATCGTCATATTGGGTATCTTCTAGCGTATAGTGGATCTTCACTATAACGCTTCATGACGGTTACGGATGCGCCTGTCGCAAGACGTACCGTCATCCTCGTAGGAGGTGTGTCACATTCACTGAACTAAAGTTACCATCTTCTAGCGATTGGCGTCGCACAAAATTGTTGGACGCCCCACAATCGACTAGAGCTTAAAGGGACAACTTATTTGTCACTTCGAGTTTCAAAATAATGAGTGAGATCTCATTACCTAGAGCAGCAACGCACAACATTTGTGTGTTGGGAGCAACCTTCATCAAGAGGCCTACAAATTCTCTTGACGTTGCTGGACCAGTAGGGTGCTTCGCACCTACTGATCCTGACCGTTTTTTGACGGTCCATCCCGTTGTTGCGTCTTTGCACCAACAGCGGACCCGCGTCCCTGCCCCTTTCTCATGGGTGGGTGGTCACTACGCCCAGTGTCGCGAGACACTAAACGAGGGGCACTACACTCATAAGCGTAGTGTCCTGTCTGTTGACATCTGTTGCATTTCTGCAACTTCTTGTAGACTGTAGAGCGAGCCTTCTCGCTCTCTACATAACAGAGTTCCATCGGCTCTGGACTTCCGCTGTCATATCGTCTTGGTTGACGATATGATGTCGAGCTGGCGCGAGCCTGTCTCAGACTGAAGTCTTCCTGTTGCGCAATGGAAATTGCTTATTCTAGTGAATCTAGTTCAATTCGGAAAAGGTGAGTCTCGACGGGACCATCCGCAAGACCTTGCATGAACACCGAAACCAACGTGTGTTCATCAACCGGGTTAGAGCTTATACAAATCGTGAGTTGTCGTATATGTCGTGCGTAAGAGTGCACATCACGCGTACCTTGCTTGAGCTTCAAGAGTTCGGTTCGAGCTCTGAACTCAGCTCTAGGCGGTTCAAACGTTTGTCTGAGCCGCGACTTGAAGACTTCCAACGACCCAAACACATATGGGTCGTGCAACTTGAGCCCCAAAGTCCAAGTCTTGGCACGTCCTGCCAGATTTGATTGGGCAAATGCAACTTGCATATCCCCATCGTCGATGCGACGCGCCTTTATGGCGTCGTCCAATTCGACGAACCATCTCAAGAAGAAGTCCTCTTCGACTCCCCTATACTTGGAGATGTCAATCTTCAAGGTCTCGGGTCGACGCGAGTGCATCGACCCACCAGCAGCAGCCTGCTGCTGTCTCAAAAGTTCAAACTGTTGAGCACCCTGTTCTCTCAAAAACTCTGCTTGTTGAGAACCTTGTTGGTGAAGCAAGGCTACTTTCTCGCGTTCAGCGTCAAGTTCATTTTGAATGAACTTGGCGATAGTAGCATGTTGGGCATCTCTATTAAGAGCCTCTAGCATGAAGCTAACAGCATGGATGCCCATGGTTGAACCCATCCGTTCAACCGCATCCCATTCGACATCGCTCAAATGGGAGTAGCCGTCACGCGTAGCGTGAAAGCTTTGGTCATCTTCATCATCCAACATATTCATGGTAGATGTGAACGCGGTCCTTGGACGGACTACAAAGTGCTACCAGGTGTAACGGGGCACCCTGAAGCTTGTACTGATGATAGTACAAGCTACTTATTCTGATGACAGAATAAGGCGGTGCCTTGGAACTTCACGTACACTCGTACGTGCAGAGGAAGACGGTCAGAAGAAGCGAGTACTTGGTTAAAGTAAAAAGTAGAACTGTATTTATCATAGTTAATGTCTGCAATAAATCACTGTTTATCCGCATCTAACTATGTCTGAATACAAATGTGCATATCAACTATCTGCTCACCACTCATTGCGTGCGTCTGTCGTGGCGTGTCTTCGTTGGTTGATATAATGGCCTATATCAACCAATTAGGAACTACTCGTAAGTGCTGCAGAATATGTGTCCTTATGACAATATTCTGAGAACATAACTCTTACAGTTATATTCTAATAACAATTTCTTACAAATTGTTATGTAACGATTCATTCCGTTACACCGCTGGTCGATGCTCCGGTAGATCTTGAAATCAAATACTTGAGGAACTTTTTATGATACACAACAATTTTTTGGGTGTTGAAACGAGAGAGGTTGAGGAATGTCTCAAGCAGTGCAACGGCCAAGTGCTGGTAGTGGTGAATGCTTTGATTGACGAGATGTAAGGCGCCGGGTGGAGAATAGTGTCTGTTTCATGTAGAAAGAGATGAAAGTGTATGGAATTTTACTGTAGTTCAGAGGTGCTATTTGCAATCAAGCGTTGAGGAAGCCCAGCTGACTTAGCAAAAACAACCGAAGCTATTCATTTGTGCTAGAAGGGCATGGGCAATACCCTCCTCCGTGCTGGTGTGGATCGGGCAATCACAACAATACGATGGAAGGAGTCCACGACGTTGTCATCGTCCGGATCTCTAACACACCCGACCCTGAGATTAACGACGACGTAAACCTCGCGTCTATAAAGAGCAGAAAAGGTCCCTGCGCCCGCCAGTGATGTGTAGAATGTCTATAAAGGCGTGCAAGCATGGTATGTTGTCTTTCTATCTAAGAATTATAGCGCGATATTCTGGTCACAAAATTTTTCTGATTAAATGTCGCAGTCCTGTTTATTTTGGGTAGACAGATATAATGCATTTACGTTATAACTTATGGCAAATTACTTTAAGACAGAGAAGTGAAGTTATATGTGCATGTGCACAAGGTTCTAAATACCGAACATTTAGTAGTACTCAAATTGTGTGTGCCGGTCTGTAAATAATGCGGAAAAGTGTGCCTCACCCGTACTTAGTGCTATCTGGCCTGGCCTCCCCAGACGTGAGGGTGTATCCAAATTCACTCTTTGGATAAGTCACTATTGTTGTGCAATAGTGACCTATCTAAAGAGTGGCTTTGGATGCTTGTGACTGGCATCAAGTCGATTAAAGGTGAATATGGTAACATGATCAAGTGTTAACGGCTTACCAGCGAAGGCCGATCGTGTTGCCCTAGCATGCTGTACTGGGTATATACGTACATATTATTATACACCTAATTTAGCTATTCAGAACGGATTACCTTGATTAAATAGCGAGCCTTAGAGCTTGCGCCCCCAATCTTAAATTCTTACCTTTCGACTGGGTATGTTCGTATTAAAAGGGAACGAAGATCACAGTGCTGTTTGGTTTGAAAGCATGTTTATGCGTACACATTACGATTTGTGGCAAATGATTAATTTATACAGTTTGGGTGAAGGCGTACGCATCAGAGGGTAGGTGTTTGCCTTAAAATTTCCGTATTGTAATCTGTGCTTTCAATGCTACAAACGCTAATCGATAATTTGTCTACATCGAATCAAGGGAGCCGCTTATAAGCCTTCTTTTTCGCAGATGAGCCTTTATTTCATCCCTACAATCAGAAATTTAATTTAGAAGTCCCTAAATTGCCGCATTGATTGAATTACTTTAATGCATCTAAATTTTATATCTTCTATGTCGAGACCACAAAGTCGGGACTCAGCCACATTCGCAGCTCGACATAGATGGGCCTCTCCGACGAGCACTTAAGGCATAGTCTACACTGGTTCATTTGAGGTGTACAACATTCCGCCCTACACCACGTCTCTCAAATTACTGAGAGGATTACCTCGAAAAGCTCCGACGACGGCACTTCATTAAAAAGACATACCTTGTAAGACCATCATTTACATCTACATGTAGAAAGAAGAGCGACTTAACACAATACACACACTGAGTAATGCTCACTGTCTAAGTATGCCCAAGTTTAAAATGTGTCTTCTTCATTATCGCCTGTTGTGGACAGGTTTGCATGAGCATTGCAGATTCACTGCTTTGATCCCACTTTTTTTCTGTGGTTCACCCTTCATTGCCGTTTCATTGTTGTATAATAGCCTTCCGGCAGTGTTAGACCGTCAAGCGCGTAAACAGCATCGCCAACAAATTAAAAAAAAACCTCTGTGATCTACTTTTATACTTTCCATGTTTCTTACAAAAAGGGAGGTCAAAAGTCCGATAGTGTAGGTGATATGAGATGCACCCAGCACTATTTCTATAATTTACAACAAAGCAAATAGGATTTCAGCTGGTTTTAAATCAATTTACTTCTTTAATCTATGAGGTGAAGGCTCATGAGTGAAAATGAAGGCTTATGAGCGGCTCCCCTGATAAGTAAGTGTCATTTAGTACGTTAAACTCAACAACGTATAAGCTTGTCCACACTTATAACTATTCATGTGAAAGGAAACGGTTGACTTGTCGCAATTTGAGGTGCTTAAAAAGCTTAAAGACCCACTAACACCATTGATCTACCGCAAGTCACAAGTGACCTTCGGAAGCAACGTAATCGACATTTTTTTTTACCTTCATCGCTCTATGTCGACACTGTATATTTGGTTTTTTTGTACCTTGGTGGATCTTTTTGATTGGCATATAAAGTTTTCAGACATCCACTAATGGGAAAATCCTTGATTTGCAGTTGACTTTGCGACTAAATGCTTACGCTAAAAAACTGGATGAGGCAATTGTCAAATAAAGTTTGACATCTGTTCCGATTACAATTCCTTTATTGAGAACTGTTTGAGATAATCATTTACTTGTTTAGTATCAGAATCAGAACGCTGTTTTCATCTGTCCCGACGAATGACTCGTAGCACTTAAAAAAAGACAGCTTTAGAAACTTCACGAGGGTTTGTTCTATGCAAATAGTGGTAGAGTGCACTTTCAAGCTTCCTAAGCCAAGGCGATATAAGAGCAGGATCCACCGTGGGCGCTATGTCAATCCTGATGATGGCTAGGTTGAACAAGTCAAAAAAAATTGGCCCAATTATATTTTTTTAAAAATCGGGTTGGTGATGTTTGTCCAGATACAAGTTGCTTCGTTAGGAAAAAATGCGTTGATCTCAGGTGCTTCTTGCTCAAGAGCGTCTTCTGAAATGAACGCTGTCTTGTGTGTATCACAATCATTCAGGGAAACCTCGAGATGAAGAAAGTGGACGGCCTTGTCGACGAGTGTCGGTTGCACAAACGGAAATATCAATTTGTGGAGGTACCTGACCATTGTGTTGGACCACTAGTCGTGACAGCGCTCCGTTACAATCGTGATTTTTTGTGCTACAGTCCATGAGTGTTATACGACACACTGTGTCACGCGTGAGCACTGGACCGCGTTAAGGAGGCGCCACGCGAGAGCTTTATCATGTGAGTATTTGCAGTAGGACCCAGATAACCGCTGCCGGTCGATATTATTGCTGTTCTAGCGCAACAATGGCTTCATTGTTGCGCATATTAGCGTACGCACGTGGTGGCGTCGTAAGGATATACAGTGCGCTTAATTACTGATAATACTTATAGCGGCTGTGTTGACTCAAGCTTATGAGCTCTCAATAATGTACCGTACTAGAGTAAGAAATATAGATGCAGCGTACACGTGGTGGTAATGGTATACGGCGGTTAACGGTTCACCTGCCGAGTAGAAAAACGGCGTAAAGAGAACACTCAAAACTAGCCACAAAGAATACGAACGAGAAGAAGCGTGCTATCATCACATGACGCATAAAGAAGCGAATATCAGCGAAACGATCCCACCCTTGCGGCCGGAGGGCAATAGCTCGACTGTTTGGTCGAGATAGAAAGCTGGAACAGATTTTATGCGACGGATGAAAAGAAGATGGGCAGCAAAGGTGATATAGAGCCAGCAAATGTGCGGAGTCATCGACTGAGGCCGACGGTGCTCTAATATGATATCGTTTCGCTGGGCATAAAGCTGACATAGCACTATTGCTCGAAGACATACCAAACCACGCGCAAGGTTTTAGGTCGAAAACACGGGCAGCATTTATCGAGAAGGAGGCCGGGTGAATATATGCGCCCACAAAAACGACATACCAATTAAAGGGAACCAAGCACGACTAAAAATGCTTTAAGTCGTGCAGCTGGGCACCCTCGAAGAATAGATGACGCTCCAACACGACTACATACTAGCAACCGTCATACCGGCCCACATGGCGCCCGTCTAAGTACTTTGCAGGAAGAAGAAACGCAACCTAACTGGCAACAGACGAAACTTATGTAAAAACTGGAGATCTTGCAGAACCTAGAGTAAGTTCACACAGCTCAAGGTTGACAGCCGTCGGCACCACATCTTAGACGCTCGAATTACGCATGCTTGAGATAGGGTGACGACGCCGATGTAGTAGAAAATCCACCTTGATAATAACATGCAAAGCTGCATTCAAATGAGAGAAGGCTAGAAAAAGGCGGGTGCCTTGACAAAGATAATCGAAAATGTTGATTCTCACCGCGGCGGGAACGCGTATAGTCCAGACATGCGGTAGGAGCAGTAACTTAGAAAAAAAATTGAGCTGATTCATCGTAAAGAGCTTCCAGCCACTTGCGCTGACAAGATACTGAAAGAGTCACACCAGCCTACTATTTTAAGCTGTCCTTAAAGGCGGTGAGTGAGTTAAACGAATCAAACAGGGATAAAGTCGGCTAAGCAGTGGAGGCCGTTTTACGTGATG